GCTGAGTTCAGGAACACGGGATTAGAAAGGTCAGAGGGCTTAGCAAAGGATTTGGAATGGTTTAGGCAGCAAGGTTATGCCATCCCAGAACCATCATCTCCTGGTCTCAACTATGCTCGTTACTTAGAGGAGCTTTCAGAAAAGGATCCTCAAGCATTTATTTGCCACTTTTACAACACATACTTTGCGCATTCCGCTGGAGGTCGCATGATAGGGAGAAAGGTCAGTGAAGTCTTCTTTTAAGTTTTTGGTATTATTCCGCATTGTCCTTTTGATACTGTGGTTTGTCAAGCTAGAATTCATCACAAAAATATGGAATGAGCAAAACTTTAGCTGCATTTAAGTCATAATTTGAAGAGTATCTAGAGGCAATTGTCGTGTGGAGAACACATTACATTTGTCATTACACCCTTGTATATTGGTTCATATCCACTTCCCTCTTCATATTCTGTTTTCTATTCTCCACTTGAGTTGCCTTTGAACCAGTGATTAAAAAAGCGCTCGCTTCCTTGCTTAAAGCGATGCGAAGCGACTCAGTGCCCGCTTCACACTCAGGTATAAAAAAGCGACCACTTCCCACTAAAAAGCGAGAAGCGACCAAGTGATGCGATGCGAAGGAAGCGACCGCTTCTTTGTTTTTAAACAGACCCAGGCTATTTAATTAAAAACGAAACTGTTCTGTCTTTTATTAAACGAACACAGCGACTAGGATTTTAAAGCAGAGCATCTGAGAGCATTAGACTAGGGTTCTTCTTCTTCAACTTCAACTTCAACTTCAAGTCTTCAACAGCAAGAGGTATGTTCTGATTTTCCTCCTCCTTCTTCTTCTTTTTCTTTTTCTTTCACTGTTTCAACGTCCAAATAGCAGCGAAATGCTGGCAAATATTTTTTTGTTACCTTCGGTTCTTTCTCAGAATTGATGCCAATCCTTGGGTTCTTCTTTCTCTGCCCAGTTTTTAACAGAGAAAAACTGCCCTTCCTCTAATTTTTATATCCTTTACATAGAAGTATTGAACATTTGCTTACAATTATATGTGTTGTCTATGCAGTATTTATTTTAATTTTTTTTTAAATTCCGCTTCACTTCAAAGCGAGCGCTTCGCTTCTCGCTTTAAGCGAAATGGGGTTGTCGCTTTTCCTCGCTTCACGCTCTTCACAACATTGCTTTGAACATGGATATGAGGGGGAGTGAACAATTCGGTTCATACAACAACTAGTGTGCCTCAGTCCCAACCAAATTAGTTCATAGGCCTTAAAAATTCCGGCATTACATTTTTCCCTATTTACCTTTCATTCATTTCCATGTACTCATTAGTGCTTCAGCTTTGATGGATAATTGAAATATTATAAGTTCCTGCCTTTATCATCTCTTGTCCCAAAACCAACTAATTGTTGAGCAATGTGCGAGTGGAAGTTGTACAGTAAGAAACAAAATTTGAATACTCTCATTAGAAAATCAATGTTAAAAATGCTAGGCAGATGATAAATGAGGAGATTATTAGAAATGTAATATGGAGGCAATCCTAAACTCTCTTTACAAATTACTTTGTTAGACTAGTGATGTCTTCCAATTCCCCCGCCTAAAACTTAGTTCGATGGCAGAAGTTTTCACCCTATTGCATGTTTCCCCCCCTTCCCTTTCTCATTTTGGAGTACCGTTATTAACGGGAAAAGGTGGTTACTTGTCCACCCAATCTTGCCTCTTCTTGTTTTCAGGTGGCTGAAAAGATACTCGACAAGAAAGAGCTGGAATTCTACAAATGGGACGGTGACCTTTCTCAGCTGCTGCAGAATGTTAGAGAGAAGCTGAATAAAGTTGCAGAAGTAATCCTAACTTGTAACTTTAATCTTTCTTTTATCTAACTTGTTCATTGATAGTTAACGTGATGCATCGCTTCTTTGCTCAGAACTGGACTAGAGAGGAGAAGAATCATTGTTTGGAAGAGACGGAGAAGTCATTCAAATTCTCAGGGGAAATCCTCCGATTAATATTGTCTTGATGCACGGCTTTGCATTTGTTTACTTGTTAACTTGTACATTGGATGGCCTAAAGCTCAAATTACTGTATAGTCGTGTTCATTTTCGCTTTGGAATTTTAAATTCTATCTATTATGTATAATAACTTGATTCTATTCAAGTATTATGTTGTCATTCATCTCTCAAAGTTGCAGCTGCTTAACTTAAGGGGCTGCCCACCCAGTTGCAGTATTTGATGTTGGTTTTGTGTTTTGAGGACAGAGACACCAGATTTGTGCTGGAGTCTGATGTGTTCTACTGCTTCTATATTAATTATTATTAGGGGTTGTTTGGTTGGAGGGATTAGAAAAAATCTGCATAAGTAATACACGTGTCGTAATCAGTAAGTTACTGGAGAAAGCTAGAGGTCAGTTGCACCGAGAAGTTTTATTGTGTGCCTCACACAACTGACATTAGTTGTGTGAGGCTCCTTTTTGTCTCACAAATTTGTGGACCTCAATCTTACACTTTTGGGTCCATAAAAATTTGGGTCCACAAAACTGTGAGACAAAAAAGATGCCTCATACAACTAGTGTCAGTTGTATGAGATACAAAATAAAATTTTCCCAGTTGCACCAAAGAGAATCCGAAGCCATTGCACCCAAATGTGTTGCCTAGTGGTGCATAACGTGGATGCAGATCCCAGTAAAGATGGACAGGAAGCTTCATTTCTTCAGGCAAGCAAAACGAGTGTAGACAATAAATTTGCGTCGAGAAAATAAAATCAAGACTGAAAAAATATCACAAAAATCATAGAATTTTATTTCAAATATTTGAGTGTACAATTTCTATGAATCCTCTGATTCTTCTTTTCAATAGTAAATAAATTCAAGGGCCTTTGTGCTTGATCTTGAATATATAGTTGTCGTCACGAACGATGATCTTGTTCTTGAGCTTTAGCTTGATTGCTTGAACTTGACCACGATTTGTTCTTCGTTCTTGAGCTTGAACTTGATTTCTTGAATTTGAACTTGATTGCTTGAAGCTTGAAACTTGTAGAGAATTTTGCGGCGTTTGATTCGCGAGCTCTCTCTTGCTTCTTGTTATAACTTCTGCTGTCTTTTCTGGGTTATGAAGACCCCTATTTATAGTTGTGGAAGGGAGGAGTCATGATAAGAACAAACTCTTTCCGACCAATCAAATTGAAGTGTGACATGACCGCATTTGATTGGCCAGAACATGTCACCTGCACACGTGGCGCGATTTCATTGGCCTTTCAGTGTGACTGGCAATGCCTTGTCATTTTGACATGTGGCATGGTCCTATTGGCTCTTCCGCTTGACTTGGCGCGCCATGTCATTTGACACGTGGCACCAAACGGGCCTCTAGGAAGATGACATCTTGGGCTTAATGAAGTGGGCTCATTATTTGTAGCCCAACTAAATGGACAAGCCCAATGAATTAAGCCTTATTTATTTAATTCATATATGTTGGACTTATATAATTAATTTCAATTATATTAGCCTATAATATTTATTTGAACCAATGTATCTTAATTTGAAAATATAATCCAAATTATTTTATGGATTTAATTTTAATAAAATTTACATGCCTACAACGAGATCACTACTTCTTTCAGCAATGAACTTCCTTTGCTTCGTAACCTTAGCCTTAGATTCCGTAGGAAGAGATTCGCCTTTGCTTATTTTGCTTGATCATTGGGACGGGAATGCTTTTGATTAACTTCTTGTTTCTCTTTGATATCATCCAGCCGATAATATAAAAAGATATATAAAAAGTGTGCAGCCAACGTACTTGTAAATTATCCATTTCAGTTTTTGAAAATCTGCTGTGTATGTTAAGTTTTGAAATCTGCAATTTCCTATATATGAATGGAAAAATCTGCAATTTGATTTTGGTCCAGTTTTGTGTCAAGTTTTGCAATATCTGCAGTTTTGAAAATCAATAGTTTTGTGACCATCTGTTTAGTTTCTTTGTCTGTCCATTTTCTGTCTAGTTTACTTGCCCTAACAACACAACCATTAGAACTAAACAATCAATAGAACTACAAATATGCAACTTGCCATAATAACACAAAAAGGGCAGCCCGGTGCATTAAGCACCCGCTAGGCGCATGGTTCGAGGAAAGGTCGGACAATAAGGGTCTATTATACGCATCCTTACACTGAAACAACACAACCATTAGGAATTACAAATAGTTGCAAATACTTCTTGCAAAAGAGAACCACAACTATAGTTGCATATGCAACAAGGGGCGTTCATACAAACCCAAAAAACCGAACCAAACCCGACCAAAAAAGCCTATACTTTTTTGGTTTGGTTTGATTTTGGTTTTGAATTTTAAAAACCGATTAAATTTGGTTTGGTTTTGGTTTTAATAAAAAATCGCACCAAACCGACTATAGAAGTAGCTATTTAAAATTTATTACACTATAGATATGTATATTATTATACAAAGTTTCTAAAAATGTATGGTAAATATTAATCGTTTGCACTTTTAATCTAGTTCGTTGATATTATAACAATCTAGTTCTTTGCCTTTGCATTCTAGTTTGAGTGTTAGTTTTCATTTGCTAAGTACAAGAATCTGTTTCATGCTAAAAATAATCTGTTTTTAATTGAGTCCTTAATTATTTATGACTATTTGATTCACTTATCATCAATATATCTTAGTAAATGATAGATTTTTTAAAAAGCAATTTGTTTTCTAGTGTTATGTTAAAAATGTAGTTGCCAGAATATGTATTTTGTAGTATATGTCTTATATTTAAGAAAAAATCGATAAATAACTGAAAAAAGAGAAAAATCGACAAAACCCGATCCAAACCGATTCAATAAAAAATCGACTTAATTGATTTGCTTTGATTCTAATATTTGAAAAATCGACTTACTCAGTTTGGTAAAAATCGATTCAAACTGAACCATGTACACCATGTATGCAACTAACCGAGACTAAAATTACATATGCAACTAAGTTGAACTAAAATTATATATGCAACTTGCCATTAGAACTACAATCACCATTACAACTACAATAAGATTTCATTTCATCAACCCAACGACAAGAAATCCAACGAATAATGCCCATGAAATCAAAATGATAATTCTCAACTTCTTGATTTTCTCCTCTAAATTACTAATTTTTTCGACTTCCACATGATTAACAAGCTCCATTTCATCAGCTTTCTTCTTCAATTTGTCCCTTTCATCCATAATAACACCCAAAGAAGTTTTTAAATCTTTGATCACAATCACTGCTCTCCGGGGGAGCTCTTCGTCGTGCCATTCCCAAAAGTCACATGAACTAACCTACAAAAAATCAAAATATTCAATGATATATAATCAGCCATTTCGACTAAATAATCTCACTAATAATCAATCACTTCCTTCAAAGAAAACCGTCTCTACCCCCTCTGGGATAGGGGTAAGGTCTGCGTACACTCTACCCTTCCCAGACCCCACTGGTGGGATTTTAGTGTGTTGTTGTCGTTGTTTCCTTCAAAGAAAACCGGTAAACCGAGCATATGAAAATGATTCCATTAAGCCCACCAAAAACGAAATAAGTTCACAACTTACTTTTGGTCTTGGACATTTGTAGAACCTCCTTCCAGCATTGGCGTCAGTCCAAGCAGTCAAATGTAAAGCAATCAGTCCACAATCACATCTTCTCACATCTAGGGTTCCATTTGAATCCACAGAACCTTCAAATATTGACACAAAAAATCAATTGGAGTGAGGACTTTTTTATGAAATGGTTCAACATATGAATTAGGGTTCTTTAATAGTTGAAGAAGACCATTGCTTTTTCCATTTATTTTTCTGATTCTTAGGTCGCTGGTACTATCTTTCTGGCCTCTATTGTTGTTACTGTTCTATTGTCTCCTTTTATCTTCTTGTGCCAAGGATCTATCAGAAACATTTCCTCTGCCCCTAGGTAGTAGTTTGACAACTCACAAGCATCCAGATGCGGATTTAGAGTCTGTTCATCTAAAACCAGAATTTAACTCGGATTACGTGTGTTCATCTAATAATTTCTGGACATACACGCGTTGACCCCTTATAAAAATGATGTACATATATAGTAATACCCAAAAGTTACTTCAATAAAAATATGGAACAACAACAACAATCCCAGTATTTTTCCACAAGTGGGGTCCGGGGAGTGTGAGATGTACGCAACCTTACCCCTACCCTGGAAGGACAGAGAAACTCACTAAAAATTGAGGTAGCACCTTATGCACAGGAAGCGCAAACACATCACCTAGAACTAGTAAAATTGAGGGCATTCAAGACCATTACATTGAAAATTTTACTAACTAAATAACAGTTTTAATTACATTGGTTTGGCTAATGAAAATAGTTATTTAAGTGTCATAAGCAATTTTTGGAAGTTCATTCTGGAATAAAATGTTATACTCACCTGAATATGATTGTAGGATGTGAACATGTACTGGCTTGTTTCCGAGGTTATCTTGTTCTTGTTGAATTCGAACAGCAGAAGCCTCGAGTTTGGGGTTACATCCACGCAACTGAATTAGTTTTAGTGAGGCGATTTCTGCAAACTCAATCGGTATCTCTTCCAAAACTCTGCAATGTATAATCACGAGTCGCTCAAGGACAGGAAAATTGTCATTTGTAGCTTTCCAGTATTTGAGATCATTCTGGCCAATTAGCAAAAGCTTCAAACTAGTAAATCTCCCTACAATTGGATACCATTCGCCGCCTTTACAAGCATTCAGTCTCAGCTTCAGCACCTCAAGTTTAGGCAATTCACCTATGATGTCCAAATCCTCCCACCTTAGTTCAATTTGACGCAACTCTAACTTCTTCAGCGTTGGTGGAAAAGCTTTTGCACTTGGAATGGTCAGTGGTGAAATCTCATTGTCTAAAGACCACCGATCATATAGTTTAAAACTCAACGTTTCGAGTTGATGTAGATGGACAAGATTGTCAACAAGTCTACATTCTTGAAATCTTTTATAGTCACATGAATGACCACATATTCGTAATTTTTTAACATTTCGAATACCTGAAATAACCTCCTTTGTGCAACAACTTGGAGACAAGCCAGAAATAGTTTGTATATTTGAATAATTCAAGTACCTCTCTTCATCAACGGATTCACTTAGACGATTAGACAAATAAAATTTATGTAGTTTGAGATGCCTTAATTGCATTAGTTCCCAAATTTGCTCTGGAAAAACCATAGATGTTGACTGATACGAACCAACAGTCTTGAATATTTGTAGATTCCATAACCTGCAAATTTCTGGAGGCATGATAAAACTCCCGCGCAAGACTAGGTACCTCAACCAAATGAGGGATAGTATCTGCGGAGGGAATGACCTATCAAACGATATTGGAGTTAAGTCCAAGACTCTGAGTAAGTTGAAATGGACAAGCTCCGATTTGAGAGTAAAGGTGTAAGTATAACCACAGAAAGTGAGAATAGAATGAGTTCGCTTCAGGGGATGGTTGTCATCGTCATCATTTGTTTGCCTTATTAAACAATGATGTCCAGGGGTAAGAAGGGCCCTATAAGAACCATAGCCGATATCATCCCCATCAGTCCATCGCTTAAAGGTCTGCATTTTATGCCTAGTAAGATGATGACATTGATCATCAAACACAATATCATCGCTATGTGCTTTTTGTGCTTCCGGACCATCATATACAATGTCATTCATGACAAAAGTGTTTTGGCTTTGAGCTTCTCTCAAGCACAGCTCGTATATTAGATCATGGACCTTACACGTTCTAATTTTCGTTTCATCCCAATTTTTCTTACTGACGAGAACTAAACATCTATCGATAAGATCTTGCAAACACTTCTCAGCCTCACCTTCCAAGTCTTCTACTAACTTCAAAAACCCCGCAGCAATCCATAATCTCATCAATCTCTTCACTGAAATCTCGCTGTCTTCTGGAAAAACTCCAAAATACAGAAGACATGCTTTTAGGTCACTGGTCAAGTGATTGTAACTCAACCCAAGCACATGTAAACATTGTTTATCAGGATCATTTGTGACAAATGACTTGACATCTTCAGCAACATTTTCCCAATCTTCTATTGTCCTTTCAGATTTAGACAAAAGCCCAGCAACAACGACAATGGTTAACGGTAACCCCTGACATTTGTCTACAATTTGTTTCCCAATAGTCTCAAATTCAGATGGTAATGCTTCATTTGCAAACGCGATACTTTTGAAAAGCTTCCAACTCTCAACTGGATCCATGGGATCCATCTTCAAAGAAAGATTCTCTGTATCAGCAGAACAAGCTACTTCAATGTTACGGGTAGTCAACAATATTCGACTCCCATTATTTTCACTTGGAAAGCATAGTCTCACGTCATCCCATGCTTCATTCTTCCACATGTCATCCAATACAATTAAGTATCTCTTTCCCTTTAAACTCTTTTGTAGCATGTCAGCTAGCTCTGTCTCATCGTCCATGTTAAATTTGTCGCCCTTTGTATGACGCAGAAGGCTCAACAAGATTTCCTTTACATTATGTTGTTGAGATATAGTAGCCCACGCGCAAACATCAAAGTGAAATCGAGTGGATGCATCATCGTAAACTTCTTTCGCTAAAGTTGTTTTACCAATGCCCCCCATCCCCACTATCGGGACGACTTTGAGTCTACCAGACGAGCCACCATGTTGTGTCAGTTCTACAAGCAACCTTTTCCTTTGATCATCACGTCCCACCATATTGTTCTCCACATTTGGACTATGCTTTTCTGAACTTGAGTCCTGAACCAAAGCTTCCTTTGATGCTTTTTTGCCTTCATTTTGAATCTTTGGTGACTCATTCTGGAGATGATCAATCTCCTCTGCTACCTGTTTTAGGCTATCAAGAAGCCTCTTATGCGCCTTTTCTTTCTGCATTTCATCCTTTGCCATTAAAAATTTCGTTAGTTGCAATTGAATTGTGTGTTCAACAGCATTTGCAGCTTCTTTTATCTGTGCTTCCAAATCTATCATTTTCCCAGAATTGTTGTTTTTCTCAAAGTTCTTGAGTAATACTTCCAAGAAGCTAACTTTTTCACGAAGAGCGAGAAATTCTTCTTTGTGATCACAAACTAGAGATTGCATTGGCGAATTGGATGCCAAGACCGACTCCATCGTTCTCATAAGAGAAGCAACACTAGCATAAGCCATATCTATTGTACTCCAATTATGACCTGAAACCTGCAAGTTGCAAGACGTCAATGTTGGTATTGTACTGTTTGACGTGCAAATTAAATTGTAACATCCCGACCTCCTCGAGCTTATCTTAGATAAAATTTGAAGCTTGTCATGTCAAAATGATGTGGAAATGTTGTACTAACGTGTAAAAAAAGAAATGAATGAAGGCTTGGAAACAAAGAAAGTTGGAAAATAAACTAAATGACAACAGCATATGCATGAATGAGCCAGGACTCAACTTCAGGACTCAACTTCAGGAAGTTGTAGGCCTTAAACTCTACTTTCTAACGGTTAAAACGGTTCGTCAATAGGACATCCCTACACAAAGTTATGGCCAGTTTTCTAAATGTGCAATGTGCAGAATTGTAATGCACTGGCCTAGGGCGGAATTGACTGAGCATCCTTTGTGATTAGTAGCAACCATATATTAAGAGTATATGAGCAACCAGCTCAATGCACAAAGCATCCCGCATTCACGCTGGGTCCGTAAAAGGGCCGCACTCCAAGGGGCACCCACGACTTACAAATCTTAGATCCACCACAATGTGAGACAACATCTTAAACTATACTAGAATGTAACAGACCACAAACAACAACATACCTAGTATAATCGCATATAATGGGGTCTGAGAAAGGTAATATGTATGCATGCGGACTTCATCCCTATCTTGTGGAGATAAAGAGGTTATTTTCAATAGACCCTTAGTTCAAGAAAATATAAGCACCACATTAATTAAAAAAAAAACAAGAAAGGGCAACAACAAGAACCCATATAAAAGCAACATAAATAACAACAAGATAGTAAGATGACCAAACGACGAGTAGTCATAGAAACCTAATACCAACAAAATATTATACGTACCAGACGCTCGTCAAAATCATCATTCCCAACATATTCCAAATGCTTATTAGATTTGTTATTATTGCTAAATGTAGACTTGTACTGTATATAGTGCTAAAACTTTGATCAGCAACAAGTGTTCTTTAGCTCTAAAGTAATCAAATGACGAGTAAGGACAACTAACCTTTCAATGCAGATTGGCAATGCAGGAGGATTTTGAAGTAGCAACCACCTACAAAAGCACTGCAACAAATATATCGAAAAAGTGTATAAAATAATATATGGAATCTAGTTAGTCTTCTTAAAAAATTTGATGAGAAATTCGATGAGAGTAGACCCGGGAAAGTCAGACTGTTTATTTGTTTTATTCGCAAACGGAGTATTTTATTATTATCCCAAAATAATACATTCTTTGTTTCAATTTAGACGAAGTACTTTGACCGGTATGGTAAAGGGGAGCCTCGACGTAACTGGCAAAATTGCTGCCATGTGACCAAGAGGTCACGGGTTCAAGCCGTGTAAACACCCTCTTGTAGAAATGCAGGGTAAGGCTGCGTACTATAGACCCTTGTGGTCTGGCCCTTCCTCGGACCCCGCGCATAGCGGGAGCATAGTGCATTGGGCTTCCCTCACTTTGACTCGGTACGGAGTTTAAGGACTTTTGAAATTTGTGGTTTTAAAAGCTTAAGAGGTAAAAGCTTTGTGGTGTAATGACATTTGTGTGAATATAAAAGCTTCTCATTAAGGGTAAATGGGTAAAATAAAGAGTTTAAAGTTGTATTATTTCTAATTATAGAAATATGTCATTCATTTTGGAACAGAATAATAAGAAAAGTGTGTCATCTAAATTAAACAGAGGGAGTATTAGTTTTGATTGTTTATTTAAAATTAGTCGTATTGTATTATAAAATTCATTGTTCGGGGACAATAAAAAGCCTTATTTTACGAAACAACCAATTCGGTGTGGTAAGATTATTTCCTATTTTTCTTTCCAATTATACCCTTACTTATTCTCTATTTTATATTTTACTCCACCCAATTACCTTATTATTGCATTCGCCGCGTCCAAATCATTGGTTCGTTCTCCTGTTCCTTTTTTCTGTATCCTTTATCTCAATCCATATTATTTGGATACTTATGCTGATTTTAGTTTACTATTTAATTTGCTCAGGTTGTTTCCCTTGTTTGTTACATATTGTATATATCGTATTATTACTTTAAATACGATATTTGTTTTGGTTGTTACTTAAATTTTATTGTATCGTATCGTTAAGTCCGTCATTATGTAACGACGAAATGTGTCGCTGCATGTAACGACCGATTTGGTGTGATTGCATCGTTATCTTATCTTTTTCTCTCATCTCAAACTTCATTATTATTAAATAATTTTATTTTATCATTTACCCTACCTTTTTATATAATAAATTTATCCCGTATCATAATTTTTCTTTATAATATTGCAATTTTATTCTTCATATTGCTGGTGTGTGATATCATGAAACAATAGCAAATGATTTTATCCAAACATTGTATTCATCAAACGATCACTGTACAATATACAATACGATACATTATGAAACAACGTGTAACAACCATCCAAACAAGATTTGAAACTACATGTATCCATGACCACCTTTTTGTTCTACAAAATAACATATTATAAAGAAGTGCATCAAAATATGGAGTCATATATTGCATAAAGACGTACATGAATATATGGAGCAAATTATAAAAAATTACAAGTGTTCATGTTTTTCCTAAGTCGATACAGTCAAATCAGAAAAATAAATATATTACTTCTTAACAACATCAAATGATATAATCTATCCAAATATACAAACGATACAACATAATACAATATATTATAAAACGATAGATAACAGTCATCCAAACAGAGTGTTAAAAGACAACTGCATCTGACTTCACATTAGATAATCTAGAGCAATACATGCACTTAGATTTGATGGAAAGTACTGCCTCCGTCGACTCACCGTTTATTTGACTCATTTTCTTAAAGTAGATTTTAAAATATTGACATTTTTTCTATATCTAAAAATAAATTAACTTTAAATTCTTTAATCTTAATAACATGATTTTATGACAAAAAAATTATCTAAAATATATTATAGATTATATATAAATTTCAAAAGTTTTCATGCAAAGTCATATATACCCTTCGCATTGGATGCTGTTATCTCAAAAAATGTGTTTGAGATCCACATTTTCTGCCACATTTTACAGGGTAATATTATAATATAGCACATGCGCAACATTAAAATATATAACACATCATGTTCGGATGGTTATAATCGGTAGCAGAGTGGCGTATGCAGGATTTTTTGTAAGCGGAGTCACAATTTAAAAAAATGAACAAATGACTAAATTAGTATAATGATAAGCGGTGTCATTTTCTATATTTATCTCCAATACTTTTATTTTCTTATACATATCTACTAAAAAAATTTCGGCGGATCAGTGTCCCGTGACCGCATAGTTCAAGGTGTATACGCTCCTGACTGGTAGGTTTTTAAGTGTGTTGTGAATAGGAAATGAAGGAAAATAAGAATTTTAAAAAGATTTTCTTTTACGAGAGAACTTTGTCTTTTATTTGAAAAAGAGAGGAAACATATTGTGCTTAAATAGAAAAATATTTTTTCTAATTTTTAAAGAGCTAAGAAGAAAGTATACCTTGTGTCGTCGTTGCCTAGCTCGGCGCTTTGATTTTGAATTTGGATCCCCAATATTATTTGCCCTTTTCCATTATTAATTTAAAATTCACGGTATTTTTCTGACGGTTCAAAACTTAAGAAGAATTTAAGGTGATTGTGGAGAAGATATTGAATAAATCGTCTAAACTTAGGCGATTGGACAAAAGAAGAATTTTGGAGAAATTAATAGCGTAATAGATCAAGACGACAATCCTTGTCTTATTTAAGGTGATTGTGGAGAAGATATCGGAAAAAATAGAAATTCAAAAATTATATAATATAGAGCACAAAGTCCTCACATTGCAGCCCAGTCCTGACCAACTTTTTAAGTTTTCGATCAGAAAAAGCTTTTGCAATTGGAATATACATTATACACGCAGCACAGGCGGATCTATGTTATCAAGTGAGGGGGCCCAGAAAGTTCGGCAAAATTTCCATGAATACATGTATATGATGTTAAAAAATACTGATATATTAGTAGTGACACCCTGTATACAAATCAAATTTTGGTTGAAAACAAAACTGCACCCCTGACCTTCAAATCCTGGATCCGCCTCTGACACAAACAGAAAAAATGAGGGGATTATCAACTTTAATACTCAATGTTTACAGCTGATATAAATTGACAAGATTATCAAAGCGTTTTGAATTCATTCCAATTTGTGCAGTGTCTTGATAAGCTTCAGTTTCAGCATTGGTGTTGGTGTTGGTGTTGGTGCTGTATCAGAAGTCATTGTCACTACATTGTGCTGCAGTTTGTTCTGTTATACTGCTTTTATTCTTTAGTTTATATCCTTTATTGATCATTGAGGGCAAGTGCATCCCATTGATGTCCACATGAGACTTCAATAGTCATCGCCTTGTTATGACCGTTCCTCGTTTTTTGGCGTTTTAGAGCCATAAAACTGGAATTCTGCCCGATTTCAGAATTTTCGTGTGTTATAGCCCACGCCATCTGCATGGGTCCGGGCAACCGGACTTGACTCATCTAAAATGCCCGGACATAAAAGACGACCTAAGGAACAATACTCATCCTCTCGCCATGGCTGTTCCTCGTTTTTTGCGTTTTAAGGCCATAAAACAAGAATTCCGCCCGATTACTAGATTTCCGTGTGCTATAGCCCACGCCATCTGCATGAGTCCGGGCGACCGGACCCGACTCACCTAAAATTTGCCCGGACATAAAAGATGACCTAAGGAACAATAGTCATCGCCTCGCCATGACCGTTTCTCGTTTTTGGCGTTTTAGGACCATAAACTAGGAATTCCGCCCGATTTCCAAATTTTCCTGTGTTATACACACGCCATCTGCAAGGATCAGGACCACTGGACCCGACTCGCCTAATAATTCTTCAAACTCAAATATGAGGTATTAAACATGTATACTGAATTCACAATCACCTTGGAGCAATAGATTGCTGAAACTCAGTAACATAATGATAAATTCCAACAATGGAATGAGATAACCAAAAGTCTTAACAATCTTCACCAGGATGAATTAAATCCCAGGACTTCAATCCTTCTACTCAAACACCATTTTTATCGAGTAGCGCATCCGACGCTTGTTATTTCTATATTCAAGAAAAAACACAAAACCAGCAACAAGCTTAAAGCGTCAGGTATAAGTTAAGAAGCTAAGTTACAACTTGATTAATGTTAAAAGAAAATATTTCTTTTACCTCTACTTCTTTTTCTTCTTCCACTTCCTCTTCCTCCTCCACTTTTGCTGCTGAACTTGCTCCTGAATAGTTATGAGAAGCTGAATAAAGTCACAGAAATAAAATATCTAGGGCTCCTTGTCGGGATCGAAATAACATGGTGCATGTGGAAGCTAACAATGGAAAACTTGATAGACAATAAATCAGACGACAAATAAAAATATACTAAACAAGTAATAACAATTTATTATGATTTGGTCAATTGACCAATATATGATCTATCACTAATATAAAAAAGAGAAAATAAATTTTTTGAGAGAATGATCTCCCCTAAGTATTGTGCCCCCTTATGGTAGTTACTGGTCGATATTATTGCATGCCATTTAATTTATGGTTTTATGTTTAGATAATTATTTATGCGATTTCTGCTGGAGTCACTAATGCTCTTTGTTTTTCTTTTTCCCTTTCTTTTTCTTTCTCTCCTGAGCCAAGGGTCGATTTGAAACAGCCTCTCTGCCCTTTCGGGTAGGGGTAAGGCATGTGTACGTATTACCCTCCCCAGACCCCACTTTGTGGGACCATACTGGATAGTTGTTGTTGTTGTTGTAATCTCCCCTAACTATGAATCTCGTAAAGACAACATTGTGGAGATTGTTCTAGTTGTGATAAAAAAACGTCAATTCATAGAAGTACAAAACTTCGCCTCCAAGAAAAGGATAAAGCATATGAAGGAGATTCCTAATAGATTAAAAATTCAGGGCAAAATCCTAACACTCCTTTATTTATACATCCATAACT